AGCAGTTCGGCCAGTCCTGCTCTACTGTGCAAAGACTTGGCCACTAAGGGAACAGGATAAAAATAGATTGTCGGTGTTCGAACACCACTGTTTTCGTCGCATTGCACGAGTCTGATGGGGAAACCGGGCGAGCAGTGCTGAGGTTAGGCGTAGAGTTTTAGATAATCGTGGTCGTCCACTGGAGCAAGTTGTCGACCTCCATAGATTACACTTGTTGGGATATGTTTTACGCACGTCACCAGATAGGTCGCCACGGCGAGCGATGCTTGATGATGCAGGTAGCGGTCGGAAAAAATGAAGACCGGTCAAGCTAAGACCTGGCATGATAGTATGAAAACCCTGACTAGGAGACTGGCTCACATAGGTCTCGTTAGGCTCCCTAGCTGGGGACATAGAGATCATGGTCACCGTTGGTTAGAGACACTGAGAGATATGGCTGGATGTCGCTAACAGTGGCGCATCTATTCATTATTCTTGTAACCCCAATCTAAATGAATTCTTTATCTTTCGCTTGATTGTGCTCTCAGCATGCGTATCATCATTCTGCTGTTTTATCCAAATGACAACAACCAAAGTCGGCACACCAAAGTGCATGGTTATGTTTGTAAGAACTGAACTGAACTTGACCAGAAGGGCGTTTCTTTCATACAACGCTCTTTTTGCTACTTACGCAATGTGCAAATGTTGCGGCTTCATGGAATGGTGTTTTAATGAATCCTGCTTTGTGTGCTACGGGAATGAAACGGGAACATTGCAAGTATCTTTCATTCTCTCAGGTCTTGCGACAGCTCGTTCGTTGCAGTGTTTCAACGTGATACTCTTTCGTAGCTATATTTTAGCGAACCAAAAGAGTTATTACATTCTATTTCACAACTTTCTGAGAGGATGGGACTGAGCAGAATTATGTAGATTGAGAAATGCCTTTCTTTGTTCGTGATCATTAGTGCATATTGAGATAACATCAAAATTTCGTTTGTATAAGCAAAATTGAGAGATATTATTGGGTAACCGGTTTCCGTTCGCCTCGGAAAAAAATATAGATGAAATCAACTAACTGCCTCATTTTTCTCACCGCGAGACCTGTTTTCTATTCATGTTGGTTGGCTACAATTTGTGTGACCCCAAACATGCAAATCTCAAATTATTTATTCTTGTATTTGAGTTCTACCATGATGGAATTTCTTTGTGTGCTTATCATGTGTTCACTTTGATAAATTCTAGGGTTACACCCATGGGTCAGTTCTGGAAGAACGCGAANGATTCGTTTTCATCTATCGATCAGTCGATTAGTTCGAGTTCGGTATTCTTTTGCGTGGCGTTCGTCGGTTTGGTACTTGTGTTAGATTTTTATCTAACCAGCGTCGTCAGTACGAGACTTGGTGTCCAAACTGTTACCAGTTTCGGAAAAGTGGTGGTAACCATCTCGGCGTTTGTTCTCTGGTAGGTTTGTTCACTTTTTTGCAGATTACCTCGTGTTTGTAATTAATCCGTGATGGAGGTGATGATAATCTCTGTCTTTATTTCATATAAAGAATTCACTATGAACCTGTTCATATGTATTTAAAAACTAATTAGGTTGACAACCTGCTGAGTGTGAAGCAGTTTTGACAATCTAT